AGAGCTGGAGGCATAACTTCATGATTTCAAACTATACTGCAAAGCTACAGCAATTAAAACAGTATGGTATTGGCATAAAAGCAGACACATAGATCCATGGGAAAAAACAGAGAGCCCAGAAATAAACCCAGGCATATATGGTCAACTAATTAACAACAAAGGACCCCAAAACAGTTTCAATAAATGGCACTGAGAACACTGGGCAGTCACATTCAAGAGAATGAAAATGGATTACTATCTTTCACCACACACAAAAATAAACTCAAAATGGATTAAAGACTTGAATGTAAGACCTGAAACCATAAAACTTCTGGAAGAAAACATAGGCAGTGAACTCCTTGACATTGGTCTTGGTGATTATTTTTTTGGACTTGACACCAAAAGCAACAAAAATAAACAAGTGGGACTACCATCAAACTAAAAAGCTTTTGTACCACAAGGGAAACCATCAAAAAATTAAAAAGCAACCTATGGAATGGGAGAAAATATTTGCAAATCATATATCTGATAAGGGGTTAATATCCAAACTCATGCAACTCAATAGCAAAAAAACAAAATCCAATTAAAAAATGGGCTGAGTGTTCTGAATGGACATTTTCTAAAGATGACACCAGGTGACCAACAGGTACATGAGAAGGTACTCAACATAACCAGTCATCAGGGAAAGGCAAATCCAAACCGCAATATCACTTCACACCTGTTGCAATGGCTGTTATCAAAAAGACGAGAAATAACATGTGTTGGTGAGGATGTAGAGAAAAGGGAACCCCATGTGCACTATTGGTGGGAATGTAAATTGGTACAGCCACTATGGAAAATAGTATGGAGGGGCGCCTGGGTGGCTCAGTCAGTTAAGCATCAGACTCTTGATTTTGGCTCAGGTCATGATCTCAGGATCATGAGATTGAATGTGGAGCCTTCTGCCCCCACCCCCCCAGTTCATGCATGTGCACACTCTCCAAAAATAAATTAAAAATAAAGAAAAAAGAAAACAGTATGGAGGTTCCTCAAAAAATTAAAAATAGATCATATGATCCAGCAGTTCCATTTCTGGGTTATATATCCAAAGGAAATGTAATCAGAATCTTGAAGAGTTACCTATACTCCCATGTTCATTGTAGCATTATTCACACTAGCAAATGTATGGAAACAACCTAAGTGTCTGTCTACAGTGAATGGATAAAGAAAATGTCACACACACACAGGAATATTACTCAACCATGAAAAAGAAGGAAATCTTGCTATTTGTGACAACATGGATGGAACTTGAGGGCATTACATTCAGTGGTAGGAGTCAGACAGAGAAAGATAAATACTGTGTGATATCACTATTTTATGTGGATTCTAAAAAAAAGCAGAACTCATAGAAACAGAGTTGAGAAGTGGTTGCCAGAGGTTAGGGGTTGGGGAAATTGGGGAGATATTGGTAAAAGGGCACAAACATCTAGTTACAGACAAAAAAGTTCTGGGGATGTAATATACAGAGGGGTGACTATAGTTTAACAATATTATATATTTGAAAGTTGCTAAGAAAATTGATGTTAAATTGTTCTTCCACAAAGAAGAAATTTTAATTATGCAAGGTGAGGGAGGTGTTAATTAATGCTGTTGCAGTAATCATTTCACGATATATATCAAATCAACATGATCTACATCTTAAGTTCACAGAATATTTATGTCCATTATATCTCAGTAAAGCTGGGGAAAAGAACTGGGCAAAGAGGGACTTGAATAGACAGTTCTCCAAAGATGACATACAAATAACCAATAAACACATGAAAAGATGCTCAACATCACTAATCATTAGGGAACATAAATCTAGAACAATGAGACACTATCGTGCACCCAGTAGGATGGCTACTGTCAAAAAAAAGGGGGGAGGGGGAAATAAGCAGTGTAGGTGAGGATGTGGAGAAATTGGAACCTGTGTGCACTTCTGGGGGAATGTAAACGGTACAGCCAGCATGGAAAACAGTCTGATGGTTCCTTGAAAAGTTTAACATAAAATTACCACATGATCTAACAAATCCAGTTCTAGGTATGTTCCCCAAAGAACTGGAAGCAGGGACTTGAACAGGTATTTGTATACCAATATTCCTAACAGTATTATTCACAATAATGAAGTACTGAAAGCATAACATGGATGAACCTTGAAAACATTATGTTAAGTGAAACTAGCCAGATATAAAAGGACAAATGTATGATTCCACTTTTATGTGGTGCCTAGAATAGGCAAATTACCGACAGAAAGTAGAATAGTGGTTGCCAGATGCTGGGTGAAGAGCGCGATGGGGAATTACTGTTTAATACGGATGGAGTTTCAATTTGGGATGATGAAAAAATTCTGGAGATGGGCAGTGAGGACGGTTGAACAATACTCTGAATGTACTTAGTGGACTTAATGCCACATAAATGGTTAAAATGGCAAATATTATGCATATTTTATCACAAAAATAAAAAATTTATGGTATCAAGAAATAGGGAACAATACTATTAGTTCCAGTAACAGTTGCATCAGCATAAAGTTCCTTCTCAAAATTAAAAATTATCAGATATTATTTGCAATCTTGCATTTGCCAAGAGCAACTGACATTGCTTTCGATTATATGACTTGAAAATGAAGTTAGTAAGAGTGTAAATCTTGATGAGTTATTAAATACATTTGCGGAAAAGTCAGAAAAATCTTATGATCAGTGAAGACATCACATATTATTACAGGAGCACATACTGTATTACATAAAATTATGACACCCAAAAATATTTTTGCAATTTGCAAGTTTATATTGTTACTCAGTTACCACTATTACCCAGGATATTTTACGAGTATTAAGACATTTTTAAAGGAAAAGCCCTATATTTTAGTTCCTTTAGCAGCATGTTTTCCTGCTTTTTGAAAAAGAGCTTCTCATTTCCATTTTGACCGGGCCCCACAAATCATGTACTTGGCCCTCCCTGACCCCCCCTTTTACCAGTGACAGCCTGTCCATTTCCGACAGAGTCCCTTTGCCTTTGTAGCTCAGTGGTGTCCTCTCTCAGATGGGAATGAGGTCTACTCTGCTTCATAGATTTGATGTGAAACCCACACACAGTGGTTTGGAAAATATAGGTGCTTTAAAATACTGGGGGCATCATTGTTCATACAAAGTATTTTTTAACCATTGCCCTTCATGGAGTCTGAGTGTCTAGATAAATAGATTTCTTATCTAAAATAAAGAAATGTAGGGGCACCTGGGTGGCTCAGTTGGTTAAGCGACTGCCTTCGGCTCAGGTCATGATCCTGGAGTCCCGGGATCGAGTCCCACATCGGGCTCCCTG